GTGATGTGCTTTCGTATAGAGCAGGAATGGTTTTATAATTTGTTTTTTTTTTTTTTTTTTTTTTTTTTTGAGACAGGAACTCCCTGTAGCCCCAGCTGGTCTGGAATCCACTATGTAGACCAAGCTAGGCTCAAACTCACAGACATCCACCTGCTTCTGCCTCCTGAGTGCCAGGACTAAAGGTGTGGGCCACTAGGCCCAGCTTGAGCACTAATTGCTCTTAAATAGGACCCGGGTTTGGTTTCCAGCACCCACCTGGCAGCTTATAGCCACCTGTAACTCCAGTTCCCTCTTCTGGCGTCTCTGGACAGTTGCATGTATGTGGTACAATTATATACATGCAGACAAAAAAAAATTCGGATAAATAAAATTTAAACAAATTTTTAAATATTTTATTATTTTTTATGTGTATGAGTGTATTGCTTGCTTGTAGGTAGGTGCACCCATTGTGCCATGCCAGTGGAGGTCAGAAGGGAGCATTGGATACCCTGGAACTGGAGTTATTGAAGGATGTTAGCCACCACTTGGGTGCTGGGAATCAACTCTGGGTCCTCTGCAAGAGCAGCCAGTGCTCTTAACCGCTGAGCCACCTCTCCAGTACCTGAATAAATTTTTAAGAAGAAATTTTACAGCCAGAATCTCATTTAGTGCTCATAAGATGCTGCAAGTGCTATCTCTGAAAGCAGGAAGAAATCCTGGATGCCTACTATTACCACGTCTGTTCAGCATATCCTGTAATTGCAGGTCAGAGCAGTAAGACAAGAAAAGAAGGAAAAATTGTAAGGATAGGGAAATTGTGAGGATAGGGAAAGAAGAAGTAAAATTCTCTTTCCACAGATGACACACTTCTATGTGAATATGCACCTTTACAGATGTTTCAAATGCTCTAATGTCACTTGCTGGTGGTAGATAACACTGCTGTCATTTTGCCTTTAGTAGATAATGTTCTCAGTGTGGAAATCCCTTCAGTATGTGAAAGCACCTTCTCGAGTTCATGCAGCAAAGCATTACACCTGCTGATACTTTTCTTTCTCCGTAGGTCCTATCTGACTCCTGTACGGGATGAGGAAGCAGAGTCTTTACGGAAAGCCCGCTCCAGACAAGCTCGACAGACACGAAGGTCTACTCAGGTACATATAACATTCCCCAGTGTTCTTTTGTCTGTCTTCCTTTCCAATGGAGGTATGTTTAAAAATACTAAAAATAATGCCTTATTCTAGCCACAGCATTAAAATTTGTCACATGGTTAATGTTGTACTGCCTGGAATCAAATGAGTTTATAGCTGAATCCACTCACTCTCACTTCCATTTCTTCAGGCTCAAGACTAATCATTCCAGTTGGGCTTAAGAACTTTTAAGAATCCCTATATCTCAGCACACTGAAATATCTGAGGAAATTGTTTAGGAGTTTCTCAACATGTTAAACCTAGAGTTTCCACTTGACCCAGCAGTCTATTCTTAGGTATATACATAAAAGAAATGAAAGCATACATTTTCATAAAACTTGCATAGAAATGTTTATAACAGAATTATTCATCATAGCCAAAAGGTAAAAATAACCCAGGAAAATGTTCATTAACCAGTGAATGAACAAAATATGCTGTCAGTACAATGACATATTATTTGGGCATTAAAAAGTAATGTTACAGGGGTTGGAGAAATAGCTCAGTAATTAAAAGCACTTGCTATTCTTGCAGAAGATAGGAGTTCAGTTCCCAGCACCCACATTCGGCAGCTCACAACCACTGGTATCTCCAGATCCAAGGGATCTAACACCCTCTTCTGGCCTCCTTGGATACCCATACACATGTGCACAAACTTATACACAGACATGCACACATACACATAAGTAATTTTGTTGATGTAATGGTTACAACATGGATGAAACTTGAGAAAACATGCCAAGTGAAAGAAGCCAGACACAAAGAACCCATTTGTTATATGACCCTGTTTATATGATATATCCAAAATAGGCACATCCAGAAACAGAGAAAGAAGATTAATGCTCAGGGCCACAGGGAAGAAGAATGGGAAGAGACTGCTAGTGGCTGTGGCTTTCTTCAGGAAATGATGAAAATGTTCAGAAATTAGAGAGCAGTGATAGTTGCAAAGCTCTTTGAATATGCTAAACTCCATGGAATTATACACATTTTATGATACATGAGTTATATTTCAAATATGTTACCAAAAAATCCTTTAAAGGAGCCATCCAAACAGTTTAAAGAAGAGTGCATTGTAGTTCACGTTATATTTTGTGGAATCTCCATGCAGACAGTTGGTGTGAGTGGTCAGTAGGGTAGTTTGCCAAGTCAGGAAACCAGAGGACTAGCTGGGAAGCTCTCATGGTAGTCCTTGCTGAGAATGGCAAAGGCATGACCTGAGGTCCCAGTGACCATGAGTCAGGAGGAAAGGCTATGAGTTAGGAATTTAAGGAGACAGAGAAAGATGAGTGCATAAAGCAGAGTGATGTGAAAAAGAAACTAGAAAATAGCATTGGCATTAGAAATGAAGAAGTTCATTTCAGCAGTTTCAGATGCTGCAGAAGTCTAGCAGAAAGTTGGCAACTGAGAAGGGGACGTGATACATAGCGGTAAAGAGATCCTGCTCATCTTTCCTGACCCTCCCAAATGGTCAGGCATTTTCCTTTTGTTTTTGTTTTGATGGCTGTCTGCCTATTCCTCCTGTGGAATGCATCTTCCCTTCCGTGAGACCCAAGACTATTTGTTTTTCTTTCATTGTAGTAAATACACATAGCAAAATTTATTCTTTTTAAGGTTTAGTTTAAGGTTTAATTAGTGTCAGTAATTCACAACACTACTGTCCATCTTTAGAACTTTCTTCACCTTTTCAAAATAAAATTCTCTATTCATAAAGTAATTAATCTGCACTTAGCAAGCAGTTTTTGTTTTCTGTCTCTGAACCTGACTGCTTTATGAATCTCATGTTGGTGAAATCCTGCACCATTTGTCCTCATGTGTTTGGCTTATTTCATTTAGCAGTGTTGTGCCACATGTCATTGTCTTCTTGAAGACTGTAGGCATGGCCCACAATTTGCCTGTCCTTCATCTGTTAATGGACACTTGTCTACCGTGAATAATGCTGCTATGAGCATGGCTGTTCACATCTTTCTTCAGGACCCTGCTTTCAGCTCTTTGGGGCATATACTTAGAAATATTTGCTGGACTATATGATAATTCTTTTTTTAATTTCTGAGGTATTTCTATACTGTTTTCATAGTAGCTGCACTATTTTATATTCCTGTCAGCACTGCACAAGCATCCTCATTCTCCGCATCTTTGTCAATACTTGTTTTATGGTTTGGGGATTTTTAATTTAATAACCTCTCTAGTGAGTACAAAGTAAAAGACTGACACTCTCTGTCTTAGTTACTTTTCTGTTGGCTCTGATCAAACACCATCACCAAGGGAACTTATAGGAAGAAGAGTTTATCTGAGCTTAAGACTCCAGGTTCCAGAGGGATTAGTCCATCATGGTGGGGAGGCTTGCTGAGGTAGCTGGAGCAGGAGCAGAAAGCTAAGTGCTCACATCATGAAGCAGGCACAGGGAGTAAAGAGCAACTGGAAATCCGGCAGGGCCTAAGAACTCTCTAAGTGTGCCCCTAGGGATGTGCGTCCTCCAGCAAGGCCATACCTTCTAAGACCTCCCAAAGCAGCACCACCAACTGGGGACAAAATGTCCAAATACTTGGGAGCCTATGGGGGATATTCTCATTCAAACAATCTCTCTCTGTCCATCTATATCTAAAAAATTCTTGTAGGGAAAGATTCAGGAGAAAGAAAGTAAAAATCCACATCAGAACTAGGAAGGATCTTTAGACTCCTTGAAATATATACATGACTTCATTTGAAAATACGTCATTAGATTCTCAAAGGAACCTCTGGTCCCCAAAAGACATTAGATTCTCAAAGGAACCTCTTGTCCCCAAAAGAATATCTGTCTGGAAAGTAAATGGAGTTCCTTAGCATGGCATTTGGCCCAGCCTCTGCCTGCTTCCCTCAGTTCAGCTGTCCCACTCAACCCCCAACCACACCTTTGCTAAATTGCTGGCATTACCATCTTTGGCCTCTTCAGTTTTTGAATCTTTGGACAGACTCCATCTAGCCATAACGACTTTCCCATCCCTCATGCCCTTCCATTGAAGTGCCTTTTAACTCCCCCAGTACTCTTGTATTTCTATTTGTGTGTGTGTGTGTGTGTGTGTGCGTGTGCGTGTGTGTGTCGTACATGTGCATGTTCATGTATGTGTAAGTATGTGTGAGTATGCCATGGTGTGGGTGTGGAGGTCAGACAACCTTGGGTGTTCAGTCCTCGTCTTCCCTCTTGAGGCAGGGGCTCTTGTTCACCACTGCAAACACCAGGCTACTTATCTGTGAACAGAGAGTCTCCTGTCCCTGTCTTCCATCTTGCTACAGGTGTCTTTACATGGGTTCTGGTGATCCAAACTCACGTCTTCTCATTAACTTTATCACTGAGCTATCTCTCCATATACTAGTGTTTCCCTAAATATGTACAATCTCTCATTGTAGTAATCTGGCTTTTTTCATGTCATTTTTGTTAGATTAGAAATTTCTTGATAAATAGGCTAGAAAAATGTCTCAGTAGTTAAAGAATGCTTACTGCTCTTAGAGAAGACCTGGGTTCAGTTCCTAGCACCCACATAGCAGCTCACAGCTGCCTGTAACTCTAGATCCAAGAGCTCTGACACTCTCTGCTGGCTGTGAAGGGTCACATACATACACATAAATTTAAAATAAATAAATTTTTGAAAAAAAGTTTCTTCAAAAGAATCACTTGACTACTTGGCTCTGTAGTTTAATTACTTAAAAGAAATCAGTTCTTTAAAAGAATGAATAAATTAATGAATAGTTTAGAAAAATTTTTAAGGAAGTTATAGAACTGGAGAGATGACTCAGCAGTTAAGAGCCCTTGCTGCTCTTATAGAGGACCTGAATTCAGTTCTGCCCATTACTCCAGCTCCAGAGTATCAACACCATCGTCTGGCCTCCAAGGGCACTGTACTCACATGCACATGCACACAGACACACATATACACATAATTTAACATAAACATTTTTAAAAGGCAGTTATGAATTTACTCAGCGACAGCCTTCCGGTTTTGTTAGTTCCTCCTCCTCTGAGGCTCTGAGCATGTACCCATGTGATTGGAATACCTCATTCTCTTCCCAAGGCTGTCCTGCTACTCTCATGACCCCCAGGGGAACATTAACTATTGGCATATCTTCTTTTGATACCTAGAGTTACTCAGGAAATGATGTTAGAGAAAAGCCAATGTATGTTTAGGAGGATTTTTGCTGTTCTAGCCTAACTGTAAATTTCTATCTTTTTGAGCCAGGATTTTCTTTCTGTGAGAAAAATTGTTTTTCCAGTATCTGCTGTTTGGAGAATAGGGATTATCCATTTGATTGTGGGGGAGGGTAAAATGCATTCAGATACAGATGCTAAGCACAATTTAGTATGTGCCCAATTACTTCTATAACAGCAGACATCAGTGTTGACCTATTTTCTTTTTTTTTTTGAGACTGAGTTGGGAAAGCTAAAATTCAAAATGTACCTAGATTTAGGTCTGAGTTCTTTGTACATTGGTGTGCTTATTTTAAGCAAGTATTGCTTAAAACGGCATTATATTCCATCTTGAGACCTTCATTTGAGATAGTTTGGGGGGAGTTTCCCTCTCAAGAGTTACTGTATGTTGGTATGAAATGGCCCTGATTGTGTAATTTTTTTTTCCCAGGGTGTTACCCTAACAGACCTTCAAGAAGCAGAAAGGACTTTCAGCCGGTCAAGGGCAGAGAGGCAAACACAGGAGCAGCCTAGTGAAAAGCTTGAAGACCCTGGTGAATTTGAGGGGAGCTCCAAGAAGCAGGAACACTCAGCAGTTCCAGCAAAGGAGTCTGGGGAGCGCCAACAACCCTGGGGCAGGAGTCTGGATGAGGAGGTAAGCTCAATTTTGCTGGCATGTTCTGTGCCACAAACAGTATAATTTGGTGAATCTTCATCACTGGTGATTTAAGTGCTATCCTCCCTACTTTGCAGTGAACCACTCATAAGAAACACTGTTTATAGCTGTCTTTGGCAGACAGACCTGTGTAACTGAAAAAGTCAAAGGATTTCAGTTCTTTTTAACAAATGTTTTATATATTATTTTTATTTTTTGTGTATCAGTGTATTGACTGTATGCATGAAAGTGCACCCGTGTCATGCAGTGCCTGCGGAGGACAGAAGAGGGAGTTGAATCCCCTGGAACTGGAGTTATGAATGGTTGTTAGCTGCCATGTGGGTGCTGGGATTTGAACCCGGGTCTTCTGTAAGAACAGCCAGTGGTCTTAACCCCTGAGCCATCTCTCCAGTCCCAGGATTTCAGTTCTTTAGTGATCCTCTTTTTCCTCTGAGACTTAACTATGCTTTTCTCAATTGTCTTACTATTTTATAAAGAGATGTTATAGTATAACAAAATGCAAATAAAAGCATTTGTTGTTTAGGTCAGACACTTTTCAGGCATTTCAAATGTATTTTTTAAAAAAGCATTATTTTTATTTTATGTATATGATTGTATTGCCTGCATGTATGTGAGTGCACCCATGTCGTGCAATGCCGCCGAGGTCAGAAGAGGGCTTTGGATTCCCCTGGAACTGGAGTTAAGGACAGTCCGTAGTTGCCATGTGGGTGCTGGGAATCAAACCCAGGTCCTCTGCAAGAGAAGTCAGTGCTCTTAACTGCTGAGCCATCTCTCCAGCCCCTGTATTAATTTTTTTAACCCTCAGGAGAACCCTCTGAGGAAGGTATTGCTATTCCTATTTCATAGATAAGGAAGTTGAGTCACGGAGGTAGAGTAACTTGCCTTACAAAATCCACACGGCTGAGGATTTGAATGTAGATGATCTGACTCCACAGCTTGTTCTGTTTAACACTAATGTGTTCCCCAAATTGATGAGCTTACAAAGTACTCCTGGGCGTCACCATAGGGGTGGACACATCTCTAGTAGAGTTGGGATTCACAGGGAGAGTCAAAGATGTATTTAGGACAGACTTACTCGTAGTTTCAATTGCAATTCTTATCTTTCTGTATTTTCATTACCACTCCTTTTCCCTCTCAAAAGTGTCCCAATGTGGGTTGATAAATTTTATGGTTACTATAGTTACAAGAGAAAGGACTCACTTGCTTGAAGTTGAACTCTGATTGCTAAATTCCATGAACTGAGATTCTCTTAGACACTTTATTTTTATGTTGTCCTTTTTGAGTGTTAACGTCCAGGTAGTGTTGAGGTACCTAACACACATTATCTCATGTAATCCTCACCATCCTCAGGGTGGTGGGATCCCTGTTTTACCAGTGAGGAAGCAGAAGCTCAGATAAGTTAATTTATTCAAGTTACACAGCTGCTGCCTGCTGATGAGGAATTAAAGCCAAGTTCTATCTGACTACAAAACTTTACCGTATTATTTCAGTATTTATAACTTATAAATTAAAAAAGTGTATAGCCTCTGTCAGGCACGGCGCCGCATTCCTTTAATCCTAGCAGAGGTATACAGAATTCTCTGAGATAAAGGCCAGCCTGATCTCCATAGCAAGTTCCAGGCTAGCTGTGACTACAGGGAAACCCTGTGGCAAAAAGACCAAAAAAGGACTGGAGTGATGGCTCATCGGTTAAGAGTACTGGCTGCTCTTGCAGAAGACCTGGGTTCGATTCCCAGCACCCACATGGCAGCTAACAACTGTCTATAACTCCAGTTGGAGGGGAATCCAACTCCCTTTTCTGACTCTACAGGCATTGCACAACACGGATACACTTAAACACATGCAGGCAATACACTCATACACATAAAATTAAATAATAATAAATAAAAATTAGAAAGACCAGAAAAAAGTTTATAACCTCCACATTGTAAACTTAATAATAGGGGCTGGAGAGATGCCTCAGAGGTTAAGAACACTGGTTGTTCTTGCAGAAGACCTGGGTTCAAATCCTAGCACCCACATGGCAGCTAACAGCTGTCCGTAATTCCAGCCCCAGGGGATCCGAGAGCCTCTTCTGACCTCCGTGGGCATTGCACATCATGGGGGCACTTACCTACATGCAGGCAATACACGGAAACACATAAAATAAATAAATAAATAAAATTTAATAAAAACCTTAATAATGGTGAGAATATGCATCACTGGGCATCTTCGGTAAAGCAAGTTTAGGTTCTGTCTATCTCAACTCTTGGGAAAAAAAATAGTTTAAAGGGGAAAATGGAAATTTAAAAAGTTCAGGATACTAGGGTGTAACGCAGCAGCATAGCCAACTTTGCCTAGCACATGCTAGGTCCTGGGTTTGATCCCCAGATCCACAAAAAGAGGTAAAACTTTTCCAATAAGTCATGTATGGCATGTTGGAAGAGCATTGAGAAATTGCTAGAATGACCCCATTTGTTCTCTGTTCTCAGATAATTCCTAGATCTTGCTTCTTCATGCTCCTAAGTTTTTTTTATTTCCTGTGTACTTTGCCTCTGAGCACCACATCTTTAAGATCTTTTTTCCATTTTCAAAGTCAAAAGAATTTCTATTAACACAGTGCTGTTTAGTGCCCTTTGGTCATTTTAGGAATGACCATCTGCTATCATCATGATGATAGCCTAAGAGTTAGGAGTCCAGAAGCTAGTTGTTGGTTTCTGACTAACTCTAATTCAGCCCAGTAGTTATTGATTGAGCATCAACTGTTATTACGTCTCCTCAATATTAAAAGGCCCATTTTGAAAAAAAACCTGCTATCTTTATTCTTTGGTTGAACTTGACCTCTAATATCTCATCCTGTGGATTATTGCTAGCCCGTCTATCATCGCCTAAGGTGTTCAACTCAAGCAGACAAACCCACATCACCAGTGTCTCCCTCTGCATCAAGACCCTCTCTCTATACCAGTTCCCACATTCTACAGACAAACAGATCTTCAGTCCCTGAACCTGGGAACTCAGAGACTACCACCAACACTACAACTGCAAAGGAAATGGACAAAAATGGTATGTACAGTTTCAGAAGCCACTCTCCAGGGCATATGACCCAAGCTCTTAAGATCCACACTCTGTATTATCTTTGAGCAGAGAATGAAGAAGCTGATTTGGATGATCAATCCTCTAACAGACTGTCTATCCGAGAGAGGAGGCGGCCAAAGGAACGGCGAAGAGGCACAGGCATCAACTTCTGGACAAAGGATGTAAGTGGATTGGTCTATACAGGGTACACTACATTGCCTGTGGCTGCCAACCTTCCTTTTGAGTTAAAAAAAAAAGAACCCACGTGGCACCATGACTCCTATAGAGATTGCTAAGAACTTTTATGGAGGAAAAGAGAAGACTTAACTAGGATGTGTCTCATTTGGTATGTTCCTGCTGGGTGACCATACCGAGAACAGTGCTCAGTACATGGCAAATACTCAGTAACTGATAAATAATTTTAAACACTGGAAATTTGCAGCTACCAAGTAAGCAAGTATAACAAGTGAATAAACTTGGAAAATTTTAAGAGTCCTCCTGAATCATCCCTAAAACTCATACAGTCAACAGTATCTTAATACTACAAATAAGCCAAGATCCTAATTAAATATTTTAATAGAGCTAGAACCATTTCAAAGCATTTAAAATCTATAAGTTGACATAAGTTTATTTGACTCAGTTTTACTCTTCTGGAGGAAAAAGGAGCAAATAATAGAAAATTGGCTTTTGCATAGAGTAATCGACATGCTTCCTAACCACAAACATATCTTCAGTACTTTTTTTTAAAAAAATTTTACTTATTATCTTTATTTTATGTGTATGAGTGTATTGCCTACATGTGTCTTAAGTGCACCCATGCCTTGCAATGCCCATGGAGGTCAGAAGAGGGCATCAGATCCCCTGGAACTGGAGTTATGGGTGGTGGTTAACCACCATGTGGGTGCTAGGAATTGAATCCAGGTCCTCTGCAAGAGTAGCCAGTGCTCTTAATCTTTGAGCCGTGTCTCCAGTCCCACATATTCAGTACTTTTTAATTGCACCCTCCTTCATAGCTTGTTCTTTCTTATTTGTTCATGCTTGTTATTGGCATTTTAAAAACCAGGTGGCTGATATACCCTGAGCTAGAGGCCCCTGGTTACTAATGAAAATTAGATAAAACTGTTCATCAAAATAAGAAATGTAACAGTAATAGTCATCTGTTAAACACTGTCTTTTGGGAAAATGTATTTCCTTGTCATAAGGCTAAATTGACTGGTAGCCCCCCCACCCCGCCTCTTTTTTGGCCAGTGCTAGGGATTGAACCCAGGGCTTTGCACATGCTAGGCTAATGAGCACTCTGCCATTAAGTTGCATTCCCAGACCATAGACTATTACCTTTTCACAGAGATGAAATGAAGTCTTGCTTTTTTGAAAGTGGTTTGACATTTTTCACATTTAAGTGATGTTTTTAAGTTGCCTATGATAGCTGTTAAAAGTGGAATTTGGCTGTTAATTTTCATACATAGCCCATGTTTAAAATGCCAAAATGTGTAATTGATGGGAAGTGACCTTGTTGCCTTCAAAATGGTCTGGTACTATGATCTTTTTGTTTTTCCTTCTCCTTCCATTTCAGGAGGATGAAGCTGATATCTCTGAAGAGGTCAAAGAAGCATGGGTAAGTGACAAGCTGGTGACACAGAATTCCCTTAGGGCTCAGTTTTAGTCTTAGAAACAGAGTTTTGGTAGATGAGCAGATCCTATGCAAATGTGGGATGAAGAGGAGTTTGTGGATGAACATTCCTCTGAGAAGTATGGCAGGTGCTGGTTGGTGGTACTTTACCTGTGGTTTTGCAATGCCCATATTCTTGAACAACTTTCCAGTATCTGTCTATACTAGTTGTCAGTTTTCAACACCAGTATAAGTTCTACATTTTTCCTCTCTTGAATATTAGTAGATTGTATAAAGTACTTTGAAATCATGGAAGAAAAGTATATAGTGATAGTTCTTTACGGACCTCCACTAAACAGAATATAAATGTGGAGAACATAGAACTATCCGACTGTTTAAGAATCATTTATGTTTGACTTTGAGATAAGGTAAAGCACCTTACCTCTATTATAACTTGACATTTTGAAACCTGGGCAACTCCCTTCTCCATTAAAGGGCCTGCACCTAGCACTCCTGATGATAGTCTAGGCTCCTTTGAGCTACTTGGATATCTCCAACACTGGGTTTTTTTGTTTTGTTTGTTTTGTTTGTTTGTTTGTTTGTTTGTTTGTTTTTGGTCTTTTTGAGACAGGGTCTCCCTGTAGCCCCAGCTGTCCTGGAACTCACTATGTAGACCAGGCTGGCCTTGAACTCACAGAGATCTGCCTGTCCCTGCCTCCCGAGTGCTGGGATTAAAGGCATGTGTCACCATGCCCAGCCATACACTGGGGGTATTTTTGCAGGAAAGAAGGAATTTGGTTTTTACTAATTAGAAGTATATAAATACATGAGTTTTACTATTTGCAGCGTGTAAACTGGATAGCCTTTCAATACCCTGCGCTTTATTGTACATATGTTCTTAGAGTATATTTAATAGCACTGAAAAGCAACAGTTAACTCATGTTTAACAGTGGAGACATAAGTATCAAATTGTCATTGACCTACCTAAATAGTGAAGATCCCAGTCACCGAATATGTTGGTTTATGCCCTCGATCCCTCTTGAGGGTGCGGCAGGAGAATGACAAGTTTTTTTTTGTTTTGTTTTGTGTCTTTATGGCATGTAGTTATGTATTCATGTGTATGGGAGATGGGTGTGGGTGCACATGCTTATGTGTGTGGGGAGGCCAGAGGTCAATGTCAGGTGATTTCTTCAACTGCTCTCCACCTTATTTTTGGGAACAGGGTCTCTCACACCTTATTTTTTGGAACAGGGTCTCTCACCAAGCCTGGAAGTCACTAATTCAACTAGACTGACTAGCCAGCAAACTCTAGAGATCCTCTTGTCTCTACCTCCCAAACATTGGGATCACAGACATGCACTGCCACGTTTGACTTTTTTACATGGGTCCTGAGAATCCAAAGTCAGGTCCTCATGCTTCCATGGCAAGCATTTTACCAACTAAGCCATCCCTCCAGCCCCTGTATAATAAGCTTGAGGCCACACTGGCCTGCTTAGTGGGATTTTGCCTCAAATAGAAAAAAGCAAACAAAAAAAAGTAATTAATGATAACATAGGGAAGAATTGTGTACCCTTGAGTGAAGCTGAGACTGTGTAGCAATGATGAATTACTTCTAGAAGTAACACATAAAGGAGGTCCCTTGGGCAAGTCTGTGTGTGTGTGTGTGTGTGTGTGTGTGTGTGTGTGTGTGTGTGTACTTGTGATAACTCAAATATGCTAGCAACTTTCTAGATTCTTTAAGGGGCTAGGAAAGCTTTTGAGGACAGGAAATGAATACAGAAAAATTCCCTTGAGGAACTGTGCTTAAACAAAGAAGCTGAGAAATAGATTACAAAGCACTGAAACAGACCATAATCCCTAGAGGGTTAGCACAGGCCATTTAAATCCAAGGAGTTATAACACAGAAGTTTTGATGTCATACCGTGTCTTTTGTAGTGAAAAGTCTGTCTGTACTTTTCTAAACTTCTTACATTGGAAAATCCTATCCTAGGAAGAGAATTAAAATGATCTTGATGCAGTGCTTCTTAAGGAATTTCATTTTAGGACTGTTGAATTAATATTATAGAAAAGACTTTTTTCTGGCTTATGAGGAAAAGCATGGACTACTGAGGTTTGGCATGAAAGTCATTTGACAGACTAAAGAATCTTCCACTCATCCGATTGCTGAGGCATGTACTAGTTTTCGCCATATGTCAGGCAGACTCCAGTATGAATCTGAACAGTGAGCAGCCTATACATAGACTGGTAGCTTTGCATGTATGCAGATAAGGTAGGGCTGATCCAAGCACCTTTCAGACATTGTTCCCCAGCCCTACCCAGAGTTCTCCAGAAGGAAAAGCTGATAATGAGTTGGCATGGAGTGAGACTACCTTTTTAAAAGTCTTAGGTTTGATTGTTTCATTAATCATTATCTGTTTTTCTCCCTGGTGCACTCTTTTCTAGCAGGCAGCATCACTGTGGGCCAGCAGAGTGAACTACCTAGAGATGGTCCAGAATAAATTGCTACAATTCTACTTAAAGGCAATCAGTAGCATCTAATGACTCTTAGAACTACTCTCTTTCCTATACCTTACTGCCCATCTTTCAAGCAGTAAAGTTGACTTGGCTCTGAGCAACCAATGTGCCAGTCAAAGGAGGGGGCATTCTGTTAAATTGGCACTGTTAGCTAATCAGTGTGGACACTGCTGAGAAGCCAGGGCAGTTCTTTTCTGTCTTGGTTTTGGTTCAGTGACTATATTGAGGTCACGCTAGTTACCTTCTCTTCCTGGTCCACTCCTTAAGAGGGATGGCACATGTTATCCCAAGACTCTACTGGAATATAATTTATAATCAATAAAATACATAGATTTAAATTGTCACTCTATGAATTTTGACACCTACATTTGCCAGTATAGCCAGCACCCAAGTCACAATATAGTACTTTTCTAACACCTTAAAGGTTCTCTTTGTCTCTTTACAGTCCATTCTCTAATCCAAGAAATAAAATCATTCTTCTGATTTCTGTCACCATAGATTAATATTCCAAGTTCTTTAAACTTGTATTGAATCATCCAGTAATACTTAATTTTAAAAATAGGGGAAAGCAGACTTCACTGGTCATCATCTCTCTGATATGCCTCCACTTAGGGTTAGAGTAAAATGACTCTATATATGTATTTTTCCCCCCTTTCTTCTTAAAGATTTCAGAAGATTCCTTAATGTCTCACCCATGTGTCAGTAACAACTGCATGGATAGGAAGGCCTTTCTGTGTAATCCAAAGTTCTGCTGATGTCATTAAAATCCATTTTCTTTTTTAAGTACTTATAAAAATGTAACCAAGATTTATTTACAGATGAGATTTATGGCCAAGGAAGGCGGCCCTGATGTTTGCTATCTACAAAGTAGATGATAAAGAGACCAGCCATGTGTTGCTGTGCTGGTGACCCTAAGGAACACAGAAGTCTGGGGACCCTACTTAAGTTCAGAAGTACAATAAATGGTTTTAGTCAAAACTCATCTACTTGGTACATCCACCAGACAGTGAAACTGACAAAGAACATATAATTTGAAATCTTAGCACCTTCTTGACAGATGTGTTTAAAGCAATTCTGTTTTATTATCTACAGTAGGTTTGTGACAGGTAGTCTCTGGAAAGCTTTAGCTACCTTTTGTCTTACTAAGTGTAGGAGAAACAATCTAAATGTTAATATAAAATACTTTTATATTCAAGAGTGCATTTAATGTTTATTATATGGTAGTCCCCTTTATCCATGGGGGAATATTCTCTAGGACCCCTAGAGATGTCCATAATTGCAGGCAGAGCTGTACTCTATATGCGCTATGCTTTTTCATTCTTCATACCTACAATGAATTTTAACTTACGTGTCAGTCACAGTAAAAGATTAACAGCAATAATAATAGAGTACCTATAACCATTTGCTGCAATGAAATTACCAGCACCACTACTTTCATGTTTTGGGGTCATTATTAAGTAAAATGAGGGTGATTTAAGCATAGGCATTGAAATCTTGATGTCTTAAAAGTTGATCTGATAGCTAAGACAGTTACTGAATGACTAACTTGGCATACAGCAGGTACCCCAGACAAAGATGATTCATGCTTCAGGCAGGACAGAGCGGGATGGCATAAGATTTCATCACACTACTCAAAACAATTTAAAATCTGTGTGTAAATTATCTATTCTGGAATTTCCATTTAAAATTTTCAAACACTGTTTAACTGTAACTAAAAACCATGGAAAGCAAAAGCTGGGGCTTTAATAGTGGGAACAGTGACTGCCACAATGCCTGTTCCAGAAGGAACAGGGACAGGCACACCAGTTTGGTTTCTAATCTTTTCTCCCTGCGTCTTTGACCTGCCTGCCTTTTGTTTGACATGAAGTTTTATCTTTTGTATGCTTGTTTTCCCCCATCTGCTCTTCAGGAGCAGTCTGTTTCCCTAACCGATCCTGTTGTATAATTGACTGTATCACTAGAGGGCACAAGTAGTCAGCTGAAAAGATGGTGAGCGAGCAGAATTGATACTCTAAAAGAAGCAGAGCCAAAGACAAGTTGCTTTTGCTTCAAAGGAATTGTTGAAGAACTCCATTTAGTATAGACTTTTTCCTTGTAACTTTTGGTATCTTAAAATTAGAAGACAGCCAAGTGTGGTGGTGCACACTTTTAATCCCAGCACTTAGGAGGCAGAGGCAGGAGAATCTCTGTGAGATAGAGGCCAGCCTGGTCTCCCACAATGAGTTCCAAGCCAGCTGGGGCTATAGGGAAACCCTGTCTCAAAAAGACCAAAAAAAAAAAAAAAATTAGAAGAGAATTTAGAGATAACTTGGTTTAAGAACTTCATTTCACAGTGAAGAAAACTGAGGCCCAGAGAAGTTAATTATTTAGAGTTGTAAAATCTCTGCTAGGTGAGCACCCTGTGTCCTGCGTCAGGGAACTTTTTTAATGTGACAGCAGTGACACAGACATGAAAATAAGGCTTATATTTTTTGCCACACCCTGTTCATCCATTTGGTTTTTTTACCCAGCAGGTCACATGTTCGAATTGACTTGCTAGTAGCATCTCACCTCCTTGAATGAAGGAACATCTTCTTGGAGAACTTTAAAGCCTACTCAGAGAGTTCTACGATTCAGTGGGTAGAGAGCATCATCATTCTTCTGCTGTCCTTGACATAGGTGGGTAGTTATGTCTGTCAGGAAGTAAGAATTAACATACTTTTGTCAGGAAAATCCACCTCCCTTTACCCATCCCAGATTAGGAAAATCAGGTGGTACTTAGTCTGAACAAAGTCATTGAAACTTTATTCTCTAAATTAGCAGTGGAGCTGTCTTAGTCCTGAATGAAACTAGTAGATTGGATTACTAACATCTCTTAAAATTCATCATTAATTCATGGGTATCCAGGTGCTTGTTCTAGATAACTGTTGTCATGCTAGTGGAGAGATCAATTAGTAAGATGTTCTAAAAGATTTAATATAAGGTTAATGCAAGATCTAAAAAATTTAATATTTTTCTAAGTAAATAAATAGTACAACTTAAATTTGCTGACAAAGCTTAGTTCTGAACTTTAACAAAAAATAAATGCCCCAGAGATATCTATAATGCCAACCACTAAATGCACCTTCTATTTGTCCTGCTTCCCTTACATCAGTATCTTCTGGTTCTTTCAACAAGTGCTCTTAAGTATCACTTGTGGTCAGACATTTTTCTAACTTCTGGGGCTGCAACAATGAAAAAAAAAAAAACTCTGTTCTTGTAGAATTTACACTCCAGTGAGAGAAACAGGCAATAAATAAATACATAGATAGTATGTGAAAAGGTAATAGGTGCTATGGAATAACCACAGTGAGTAAAGAGGAATCAAAAGTGTCGCCTGGACAGGAGGTTAGTACTATAAATAGGACAATCAGGAAAGGCTGCAGCAACAGAATATTATTTGAGCCTAGATTGAAGCATGTGAAATAAGAAGCTATACTGGACATGTGAAGGTGGGGTGAAGGCAGAACGAACAGTTGCAAAGACCCTTAGGCAGATATGCCCTGCATGTTTGAGATCAACTTAAAAACAAATAACTGTGCCTGGAGCAGAGTGAAAGAGGGTAGACATCATAGACTAAGTCATTATAAGAACTCTGGCTTTGGGGGCTGGAGAGATGGCTCAGTGGTTAAGAACACTGGCTGTTCTTGCAGAAGACCTGGGTTTGAATCCCAGCATCCACATGACAGCTAACAGCTGTCTGTAACTCCAGTTCCAGGGGATCTGACAGCCTCTTCTGTCCTCCGCGGGCATTGCATGACACAGGTGCACTTACTTACATGCAGGCATAACACTCGTACACGTAAAATAAAAATAATAAATAAAATATTTTTTAAAAAAGAACTCTGGCTTTTGGTTTGAGTATATGTGTACCTGTTGTGGAGTTTTTCAGCAGCAGAGTGACATAATTAAATTTATATCTTAACAGGCCACTCTACAGTACGCTCTAAGGGGTTACCAGTAGAAACAAGATTAGTTAGGAAGCTGCTCATAATACAAGAAAAACTGAATGAAGGTGATTTGGATCAAGATGATAGCAGGCAGATTTTGAAAAGTTCTTATATTCAGGATGTTTTGAAATTAGAATAACCTAGATTTGTTGTTGGCTTGAATATACGATGAAGAAAGAGAAATGTCCCAAAAGAGGGATAGTAGGGAACATATGTTCCCAGGGGGGAGGTAGAGAAAGTGGAGGTGTTCAACTGGAAGGAGGGCAGGAGTGGGGATGCTTGGACTCGGGAGAGAGGAGGGAGATTGGACGGGGGATTAGAGAGAAGACATGAATGGAACTTAGGTGGTGTAGGAAGCCAGAGGGAAATGTGTTGGATCAATGATATCTGGACATGAGTGCATCTGTATACCTGGGGGCTATATGGCAGGGAGCATAGTGCCAGACAGGAGAGACCTTCCTTCAAGCAGTTGGTCAGAGTAGTCCAAGAGACTCCCAGAATAACACAGGCTTTGCTGGAACCCTTGGTTATTTCCCAGAACTCACAGGTAAGACCCTACTGCTGAAGACAGGTCACTTCGGACATTGGACTTAGAGCAGTGGAGCTAGAACTGACCTGGAATCCTCCTCCCTGAAGACTAGCTCTCATAATTCTAGAAGATACTATGTAAGCTGCTAAGGGAGAAAATCAACCAATGGTTCAACCCAGCTCTAAAGCCTAATAACCACAACAACGGCACAGCAAACTACCTCTGTTGGTGCAGTATTGGCACTGTTATCTGGGGGGTAATGGAGCTAGAGAAATGGCTCAGCAGGAAAGTACACTGACTGCTCTTCCAAAGGACCCAGGTTCAGTTCTCAGCACCCACATGGTGGCTAACACCTGTCCTTAACTCCAGTTCCAGGGGATCCAACACCCTCTTCTGACTTCCATGGGCACTGCATGCATGTGATATACTTACATACATGCAGCAAAATATTCATACACATAAAATTAAATAACAGCCAACTGTGGTGGCACACATCTTTAATTTCAGCACTTGGAAAGAAGAAGCAGGTAGAGGCCAGCTTGGGCTACATAGTAAGACCCTGTCTCAATAAGCAAATAAACAAACAAGTCAATCAATCTTTATGAGATAGGGATAATAGGAGTACCTACTGTTTGAGTTATGAAATAAAAATGAACTAATACATGTAAATAATTTGTGGTCATTCCTAAGTTCCTAAGTCAGACTAGAACATGACTTTTGGAATACTTTCATTGACCTTTAGAGTCTTGTGGTTTTAACGTTATTTACTAATTTGCTCTTAAAGAAGTAGTTATTTGAGAGGTAAGAAGTAGCCCAGATTCTTCTATAACTCCAATATATGACACATACCTGAGTAGCTTTTGTTGTTCATTTTGAAACAGGCTTTACTCTGTAGCCTAGGCTGACCTCTCCATCTTCCTTCCTGGGTGCTGTGTTTACAGATGTGTACCATCACACCTGGCTTTCTGGAACGTTTTGTGGAAGTTTTTAAAGGGCTTTCTGAGGTAGCAAGAAAAAATGAGTAGAAAGAAGAAAAAAGAGCAGGACTAAATGTTCCAGGTTGTTCAGAACCCTTTGAGCTCCTGCGCAAATCAAATCCCTACACCTTTCTCTGTCAGGCAGTCTTTCATTTTTATGCCTGAGTTACCCCTCCTATTTGTGCTTTTCTTCTGCCAATGTTTCCAGCAGTTCTACTTTTATGGGTCTTTACTGGTTTTCTCCTTTCTCTCTGAATCAATATCAGCCCCCTTTCCTATTTCTCTAAATCTTTCACAAGTTTGCTTCTGACTATTTGCTAGATCTTTTCTCTTAAGCAGTATTTTTTAATCTTTGTTACTTAATCTTGTGAAACCCCTTTGTCTGTTGGAATATAGCCAGTAATTTCCTGTCCACTCTCCACCACTGGGCAGTGTCTTGGCCTTTCTCCTTTTAGGTAAAATCCTAGGTCTGTTTTGCTTTCTTCTCTCTATGGGGCCCGATTGCCTAATATGGTAAGGTATTTCCCAGACAGGACTACACTGTTAAGATGGAATAACAGCTTGCCTAAGTTTAAAGACACAGTAGGTAAGCTATCGGATAGACTTATTTATGTAGTAAAGTAATATTTTTTAACAGGTGACCATATCACAACTACAATCATTTTTCTCTTGGTAAGCTTCTGTTGCTTTTAACAGAGTTAAAAGGATAATAAAATACAGATTTTCTCTACTCAACCTCTATCTTTAAACCGATAAGGGAAAGAATAAATAAATAAAAGGAAAGGTGATTATCTAGTACACTGAATGAGAGGATTTTGAGTAGTCTGAGAAATTTTATAACATGATAATGTTCGTAAGGATTTTAAAAGTAAGGATAGAATCAGTAAGTGATGACTTTTATGAACAGTCCTGCTAAAACCAGCCCCAGGGAGTTGGCAGGAATTCTATTTGTGAAAAGGCAAGCTGGCCCTGAATTTGTGCAGTTGGTGACATTGGGCAGTTGAGGGCAGGGGATGGAGATAGATAAATGGCAGTCAACCAGCTCTGTCTGGGAAACCGCCTGTCATCCAGTGCACACTGAAGAATCTTCCCTAGTGGCTGATGCCATCCTGACCTAGAAGAATCTTTGCCTTCACTGTATGTTTGCTCTTGTTTTCAACTGTAGTTTCTTAAAATACTGCAGATGCTGTGATTTCTATATATGGATTGTGCCTTGTCTAACCCAAGCTGCATAAACCATCTTAAGAACAAAGTTTCTTTTGGCATCTTCCTTTTATGAACTCCATTAATTTTAGGTCATGCTGTTGCCAAGAAAATCTCAGTAATCAAAGCTCATATGTATTCCTTGGAGACCCTTTAAGTTTGGACCCAGTGTCACATTACATCAGTAAATTTTGCTTTAATCAGAAACCTTTTTAAAGATAGAATAAACTGACCTTCAAGGTAATCTGTTTTGGCTTCTTTCACATGTCTTGCCCCCCAAATGTGGAAGACTTACCTAACTACTAAGAAGAGTTAGTTAACCTCCCAATCTTTTCTTTTTCTGTCATTTCTTCTTTCTGCCTCCAACTGCCTACAAGGTATTAATTAATTCATGTTAGAACTATGACCTTAGGTGTATTGTTAGAGGAACACTCATAAGCTTGAAATCCAGAGGGAAGGGTTTTTTATGATTATAAAAAGATAATTTACTATATTAGAGAAAATTTATGAAGTACAGAAAAGTATAAGACTGGTTCCCAAAAACAGCAGGAACATTTCTAGAGGTGGTTGTGAAAATGCACAGCAGTACTTTCGGGGGGCATGGTGATGTGTGTGGTGGGGAATGCTGCATGTGTTTCATGGAAGGGGCCAGAGATACTAGGTTTCCTATGATGTTCCGTATCAAACTGTTGTCCCTTGGCAGTTTTAGATGAGTCTGAAATAAAAATGGTTTTATGTATAAACTCAATTGATAGGGCAATAATAAAAATCCAGGCATCATGCAAATTGGAAAGAAACCACCCTTAGTTTTACGACGACTGTAATGCCACTTGTATAATGATGGTATTACATAAGAAGTTCTACAGGTCTACATTTGACCTCTACTACTTCACCCCATAATATTATTGAGTTAAGAATTATCATATTTGTTTATTTATATATTTGTATGTATAAAATGATACATATATAAGGCATATATAAATTTTATATACACACGTACACATACATATATTTGTGGGATAGAAGTATAGCTCAGATGTGGAGGGTATGAGACTCTGGTTAAATTACTAGTACTAAAACAATGTGTGTGCATCCTGGTATGTATCTCATTGTAAATTATTTTGCTTTTTTTATTTTATGATTTTAGGTAAATTTTATATGTCCATTTCAGGACAGTAAAAGTAAGGGTATCAAAAACATTTGCTATAAAAAAAGGAATTACATCTGCTATAAAGAATAAGAAAAAAATTGTAACCATACTATTCAGAAGAAATTGTTGTTAGAATGTTGATAAATTGGGCCAGAGAAATCAGTGGGTATGCTGTCAAACCTGAGCATCTAAGTTTGATCTCCTGAACCCACATGGTAGAGGGAGATGCCTGACTCTGACAGGTTGTTCTCTGACCTCCACATAGTCATAATGACTTGTTGGCTCCCACATATATATACACACACAAAATAAATAAATGAAGTTTTAAAAAGCATTTTGAGCCAGGAGTCGGGGCGCACGCCTTTAATCCCAGTACTTGGGAGGCAGAGACAGGCAGATCTCAGTGAGTTCAAGGCCAGCCTGGTCTACATAGTGAGTTCCAGGACAGCTTGGGGCTACAGGGAGACCCGGTCTCAAAAAGAACCAAAAAAAAAAAAAAAAAGTATTTTGATGAATTTCCTGTTTGTATTTTCCCAAAGTTTTCCTATTTTTCAGTACATACTCAAAATCAACTAATGATATTCTTGAGAAAAGGGTCAATTTCTACTTAAACATTCCTGAAACCCCATCATTACCATGATGACAGTGTCATAAGGTTGCTTCAAAGCACTTGGGTTTAACTCTTTTATCAAAGTAGTCAGTCGTCTGATGGCTTTGATCCTAAGAGAGCCTCCAGGAATAATTGTTCCCTTTTCAGTTGGAGTCTGAGAATTGCCTACGTTATAACAGTACTCATTTCTTCTGTTGATAGCATGGCTGCAGAGCCTTAACCATGGCTTAGGCTTAGCTAATGCTAGAGTTCTAGCCCCATGATTGAGGGAGAAAGCTTAATGTGAGATTTGAAGCTCCTTTTCAGCAAATGGAATGTTTGTAGATTTGCCCCAGCAGGAATGTTAAGCTTGTGGCACTAACAGATGTTACTTACAGAAGTATTATTTCATTTTAGGTGAGAAATAAACAGTTGAAAATATAAAGATGACTGGTTATAAGTTACCAATTTTAATTTTTCTCATACTACCTCAGTTTTCAATTAAGCATATTTAGGAATAAGAGAACTGTTATTTAACGGCACGAATTTCTTCGTAGTTTCATATCCAAATGTGATCCCTCATGCTGCATAAATGTTTGTATACATGTGCTTTAACAGATGTGCTTTTTAAAATGCTTGGTGTTTTCTATGCTTTAGTTTTTTTAATGTTTTGTTATAAACTTGAACTCTTTTTTTTTTTTTTTTTTTTTTTTTTTTTTTTAGATGGATCTCCCTGTAGCCCTAGCTGGCCTGGAACTCGCTATGTAGACCAGGCTGGCCTTTAACTCATAGAGATCTGCCTGCCTCTGCCTCCTGAGTGCTGGGATTAAAGGCATGCGCCACCATGCCCAGCATAAACTTGAACTCGTATACCTTATACAATGCCCATATTTTTTACTACTGAGTAGAAGGGAGGGGCATTTTAAAGATACATTCACAGAATTAAGCACCATGGCCCAGCTTCTTGGAGACTGAGGTAGGAGAATTCAAACCAGCCTGGGGTGATATAGCAAGACCTTTTCTTTAAAAAAAAAAAAGTTGTTAACAGTAACAGTTCAAACTAAAATATTTATTTATGTGTGGAGCTTACAGCTCTTAAGTGCTTCTGAAATGTTTTAAGGTGATAGATACATTTTAAGAGAGAAAAGAAGGGGCTGGAAAGATGGCTCTGCAGTTAAGAACATTGGTTGCCCTTGTAGAGGACCCAGGTTTGGTTTCCAGCACCCACATGGTAGCTAACACTCTATAACCCCAGTTCTAAGGAAGCCAATGCCCTCTTCTGATCTCTGCAGGAATTTTCACTTACGTATATGCAGGCAAAATGCTTAAACACATAAAAAATAATAATAATAATAATAAAATAAATAAATAAGTAGAAAAGTAACACATTAGGATATTATGTCACCAAATAAAGATTTTTACTCTAAAGTGTTACTTTGCTTTGGAGTTGGGATTTTTCAAAACTGAAATGCCTTATTGGTGAGTCATAGGGCTGTCTGTTGTGAATGAATGGGGTTTCTCATTTCCTCCAGTTTCGGTATGGCTACTTGCTGACTGTTGTGAAGAGTCAGTGCTGCCTTTCTGAGGCCCATGGCAAGGGCAGCAGGGCCAGCCTTATCTTGTTTTGGGACATATAATGCTGTATGTTAGGGGTCAGCAAACTCTATATAAACCACCTCATATTTTCTCCTTTGGGAATACCTAGACTGTTATAACTACTCGGCTCTTCTGTTACAGTGGGAAAGCAGCTATAGGAAACATAGAGTAAGTGGGATTGACTATATTTCAATAAAACTTTATTTACAGAAGCAGGCTGGTGCATTGGATTTGCTACAGTTTGATGGCCTCTGCTTTTAAGTTACTGATCCCAAGTAGTGTTTGCTGTCATGCCAACATGACTCCCAAGTGTGAATTTTCTGTTATCTGGCTACTTATCTGGATAATTCTCTTGATTCTTTACTTTGAACTGTGAGGGGCAGGGAAAGTCATCTTTGTAGGGATATATGTTTTTTGTTTGTCTTCACTTGAAAAAACAATGAGACTTCTTGAATGAGAAAGTAAAGAAGAAACCATGTTCATGTTATTTTAAATGTAGTTTCTCAGGGCTAGGACTGTAGCTCAATTGGTACAGTACTTGCCTAGCGTGTGTGAA